ATTGTTGTGTTCTAGACGCCCGAAAATAACCTCTGAGGCGTTCTGGGCGATCAATTATTTTCTTTTTCTTCTTTCTTTCTTTTTTTTACCTTCCACCCCTGCATAAAAACCAAAAATGTCAAAACCTCAAAAGAAAAGTGAACTTATGCCAAACTTACAATTAAACAAAGCTTAATACAATTCAGTTTTCGAGAGTTTAAGTTGACTACCAGCCTATAGGAATCTATGCAAATAATGACAGTATTACTTATTCACTTCTTATGTTAACATAAAAAATTAGTTTCAGTTAAGTGCCTACTTGTGACTATGACGTCACAAGTGTGACAGTTTACGAGCACTTGAAAGAAGCTAGTCGAGTATCCAGTGCACGTGTTGACCGTTCTTTCCAGTAGTCATTAAAAGAATATAATTTTGCTGATGTTTTAATTAAAATTAAATATCAAAAAGATATAAAACGAGGTTCATCCATCACAGTGTAGTTATCTATAAACTTCACCGTCAGGTAAAATTCTGGAAAAAAACTTCAAAATGTTTGCCAGTTATAACAATTCACATTTTATGCATCAGCCTACAATATTAATTTATTGCAGTATTTAAAGGTGCGTTTATTGTATTTTTTTTGTATTTATTAACAGTTAAGGAAACAATTGTCATATAATTGTAAATACAATAAATCGGATTTTGAATCATCACTCATGTGAGGGAAATTGAGGGAAATAATGAGAATGGATGCCTTATAAATTAACATCTACTGTGAAAATTAAACTCAAATATTAAGCTTAAACTATTCCTTTAAAAGGATCAAATAAGATATTAGATTCCAAAGAGTTACAGATCAAACTAACTAAGTTTTGGCTGAAGTGCATACATCTGTCACAGTAGGCCTAAATCCTTAAGCTTTCATTCAATATACAGATCTTTGTAAAGGATATAGGAAAAGTATTACATATGCTTTTAATTGGATGCAAACATTTTTTTCTATTTCAAATTTTAGGCTAATACAAGAAGCAATTCTAATATTGAATTTAAAGGTTAGTAACAGATGAGTCTGGTCATGGAGGTATAAACTAAAAAAAATGTTATTCCATGTTCTGGTATAGATCGCTGGAAAGTGTGATAGTAGTGGATTGGTGGTAAGACAGCGACCACGCTGTCTCCTATACTGCCCCAATATAACTGTGAGGCTTATATATGTATCTATCAACAACTCTTTAGTTGAAGTCAATTATGAAAAGAAGCAAGACAAGTTATTTCAATTGTATAACTTTATTTTTCATATTTACTACTTCTGGACATTGAGACATATCAATATGACAAATAATAAACAAATACATAAACCTTATTATGTACTAGCAGAGCTATCCAAACAAAGCAGAGATTACAAACAAATATGCATAACAATAAATAGCTTTTATATAACATGTAATATAGCATGAAAATATAAAAGAACAATTATATATACTGTGTTATAGAGTTTGTATTTTTAAAAATAATTGTAGAGAAGATAAGAATTGAAAATACCTAATTAATATTTAAAGTACATGTAGCCAAGATGCAACTTAAATCAAAGCCAGCACTAGCAAATAAAAAATCAAAAACATTGATGACCATGTGATAGAAACATGATACCAATTTCCTACTGAATAAATGTTCCAATACGGTGCCTGGTATATAAAACAATTAGACATAAAATAGCTAAAACCAAAATAACAGATTGACAGTATCACTACCAATAAAAATCAATGAAACTTATTTGAAATGCCCCACTTTGAATAAACATCCACACAATTAAAGATCTGAAGTAGTGAAAGAGCTAGTCCACACCTCAAACACTTTGAGACCGTTTCAGTATGAAACACTATATAAATCTAACTACAATACATTACAATAATATGACATAAATGTCCCTTCATTATATATGTCCAAGGCTAACAATTTTGATGGTCTTTTCAATTAACTGACTAACCAAGAAAAAATACAGCAGGTGTGACGATAAGCAAAAATTATAATCAAAATGACCACTCTGATACAATTAAAGATGTCCCGACATTATTTATTTGTTGTTGTACTCCATTTCTTGCAATTTATATAAAAGTGTTTACTTGAATAAATTAGATATGCACATTACATCAAAGAAATTGAACATATCACACAAAATCTCACCTTCCTCAATAAATGGACCTCAAAATTCCACATGCCGGGACATTCAGTTAAATAAATAAGGTGAAGTTTCAGTGTTATTATTAAGAAATAAAACATTTACAAATGTTTTACCGCAGTTCAGTGTCATCTAATATCATTACACCACCTTTGTTACTACACTCTCAGTGTGAAAAGAGCAGGAATAGCACCTATTACAGTAGCATACAAAAAACTCAGAATTGGTGATATCGCATCTGTGCATATGCTACGCCATGCTTCCTCCCATTGCAAACCTGTCAATTCTACGGATTTTTCAACTCAAATTCTGGAGGAAGTCAGATTAATATTTCCAAGTATAGCTATACATAACAATTAATTTAAAAATTTAGCACACAATATCAATCATATTTTAATAGTTTAAGTTAAAACAAAGCCAATGAAATTTAACAATGAGGGAAAAAAACAAATTACATGAAAAATGAAAGGAAATTTAAGGATAAAAAATAATTATTATAGTACTCTTGTTTATAACAATAGTGTGGATTTATGCAGAGGTAGATGTACAGCATACTAAATAATGCATGGTTTTTAAAAGTATACTAAATACTGTTTAGATAGTGCTTAAACTCTACTAGATTTGTACTTAATGTGTAATTAAAGCACTGTTAGACAGATCTATACTTAAAAGAACTAATATATGCGTACCTTAGCTCTGAAGGATGTGTTAAGCACTATTAGATATTGTACTTCTGTGTTGGATGTATACATGAACATACATGTTTAATTATTGTATGAGTTAAACAGTGTTGGTGTATACTTAAACATGTTTACGTGTATACTTGAATCACTCTTAGATACTTAAACAATTAGTATCTAAAAATAATTAGATGTATACATAATTAGGAAAAGTTATACCTGCATCTACAGTAAGCAGTGTTAACTATATGCTTAAATAGTGTTAAAATGTAAAACATGATTAGGTACTTACATAAGTCACTCACTAATATTTCACTAATTTTAATTGGTGACACTTAAACTAATATGCCTCATACATACAAATTGGAATTGCAAATACGTACTTAAATCCTGATTATTATTTACACTTTAGGAAGTGTACAGCAAACATACATCAAACATTTTTTTGTGGAATGATTAAATAAGCAAAACAAAAACTAGAAAATGCTGAGAGCATTCTGGACAAACTTTGATTCAAATCGAACATCTGATATTTTCCCGTTTATTAGCCCCAACGGGTATGAGGCCCAAGGGCACCCCCTTCCCTCAGCAGTCAAAGCACCCTACAGAAAATACCTATATATAACTATCATTACAATACAAGTTACGATCATGCCCCCAAATAGGATAAATTTATCTTGAACAGAACGCTTTTCTATCAATCTCATCACAGTGTTACTAAGACCCAATGTCGTTGCCAGATCTAGCATCCTCTTCTTTGTATTCTGCAATAAAAAAGTATATATTTATAAGTATATATAAAGTGTTTATTGTATGAAAACAAATGAGAAAGGTAATTTATTGTAAAATAGTAGATTTTAATATAGCTCTTTCAGCCAAGAAATGCAGAGCGCACATCAGTAATAATATTATTATGTGAAAATGAGTTTGTGTTGCCCAAATTCATCCAACCAAACATTTAAAAAATCTGAAGCCAGTTATTTGTTTGTGCAAGGCGGCCCAAATTTTGTTTGAAAAGGCACTTTTTAGGTTTGAATTAACAATTCTGATAGGTTTAATCATGGATGTCAGCTCCATGGTTTCCATTTTACTACTCAAAATAATTCGGGGGTGAATGAAGGTTTTAAAAAAAAAAACCCTAAAATTTAGGCCTGTAGTACTGAAAATATATTTCAGACTGACCGGCCCTGATTTCCAATTACCACTGTCGTATATGCTGTAAATTATAATCACATAGGCCTACTTGAGGTTTTGGTAGATTTTAAAATACAGACCATACTCTACAAAGTTTAGTTATTTTATTTGTTTCATGAATCCCCGACATGCTTGGTCACGGACAGGGCTGATCCTGGACAGGCACGATCCCGGAGAGGCCTTATCCCGGATTTTTTAAGGATATAATCAGCCTAAATTTTTATTTATTTATGCATTAAATTTTATTGTCATATGTATACATACTATGGTGAAGAGATAACAAGGAACAAAGGCTTTATAAAAGCAACAATACAGAGCATGAGAAAGAGATATCATTGATCGTTCATACGTGGAACTATTAATCATACATAATGTAATTATTCACGAATAAATAGTATACAAATAAATCCAATTGTTTCAATTTGATTTCAATTTCAAGGTTTAAAGGATTAATTGTATAAACCTCATTCCACATGAATCTTGAAAAGTAATTTATAAACTATTTTAATAAAGGGTTTTTTCCACTGAAAATGCGGAGAATGATACAATCATTGGTAATGAATTTATCAAACAAAGCCCGGTTGTAAAGCTTTGACATACGATCACTTTGGGTGTTAAGCTGGAAACAGTTCTAGTATCTGTGTCAACATTCTTTGTAGACAGAGCCTGTATCCATGTCAACTAGGCCTATTATGAAACGTTTTAAATTGCATTTCATCACAAAGTGGCTACTGTATCTGTACCTGTAATACACTTTCTACCGAAATGCTTATTCGTTAGGTTACCAGTACTGTAATTTGAAGATTCCTTTCCACAGTTCTAGCATTGTATGTGCAACAAAAATCTGAGTACCTAAGATGTTGATAATTAATCAACTAAACCTTTCTGCTATAGCTTTGGGACTTAAACGATATCAAAATATGACAGTTTATTAGGTAAACATGAAACAAGACTTGTGAAACATGGTAACTGATCTTATAACTTTGGAAGAAGGATGTAAATAAAACCTGAATATAAACAAACTTCATATTGTAGATAACTAAAAGAATATTAAACATACCAGTAAAAGTACAGTTGTCATGTACAATAATATTTATAGAAATCTAATAAGTATTATTAATAGTGATATCACTATCTTGTACAGTAAAATCATTATTTTTAAGTATTACAGTTTCAAACAGCTGCGTTGACATATAATCAGCCTTCGGCTGTCAACGTATTATGTTTTCTTATTAAAGTACTTAGAATAACGTAACATGAGAACAAACTACATTAGAACCTTTCGTTTGGGACACTCCTATTAAGGAGACACTTTTTTGGCACTATGGCAATTGAGGGAAGTTATATCTTTTAATATTATAGTCAATCACAATTCAGGGGACAACCCTACAGTATTAAGAGGACACTTTTGGTCCTGACAATATCCCATTAATACGGGCTCTACTGTACTGTATAGTAATAGTATGTTACAAATGTATAGAGGGGAATTGTCACCACATATCATAGGGCAAATTTTGACATCTGTCAAGATATTTTCTCCTCTGATACGGCCAATCCCTATTTTGGGGACAACACTATTAAGATGACAATTTTTGGTCCCAAAGGTGTCCCATTATTCGGGGTTCTACCGTACTGTAATTACATAGTTATTACTATAAACGTGAATTGTCACCAAATACCATAGGGCAGATTTTGACATCTGTCAAGATATTTCACAATCCTCAGAAACAGGATTCTGCTACAATTCACAAAAAATGAATTAAATATTTAATCTTCTGGTTTCCAGTTCTTACACAATAAACACTGATAACAGAATTTTTGAAATAGCAAAGATCTTTAATTGATCCTTGAGATACAGACGTAGCTCAAAGCAAGAAGGGACAATTAGAGTGGCAGTCAGTGACATATGTAGAAAAATCACATAATAATGGTCAATATGAATGACTAGATATAAACAAGACTATACACTGCATTACAACAAAACACGGGTTGGACAACACAGGATTTTAACATTTTTAACAGAAATTTAAGGATGAATCCAAGTCGACAAATATTACCACTATGGAACATGTACTTTAAGCTATGAAATCCACATTAATTCAAGTGGAATTATGGCCTAAAAACTAAGCAAACATATGGGTTATGATTAAGAGAAAATGGTGACTCAGAAGATACTTTAAAACAGTCTGATGATAAAAGGCCATGAATAGCTGAAAGAATGAAACAAATGGTGGCTGAAGCTCAACACAATCACCAATAGATTTACATGTAAAACAATTACATTACAAAGATCAATTATGAATGACAGAACTGATAATAATACAGTTGGTGGCAAAATAATGTAATTGACTCAGTCACTTACTGCTTTTATGCACAAAATACCAGTAAATTAAGCAAAGAACAACTGTAATATTATCTGTTAGCATGCCAGCTACCAGCTACAGTGTCTATAATTTTACTAACATACAAAAATGGGCTCACAGCAGGAGTGTGTCTACCGCTTGATACAAGGTTTTTATTTGGGTACTTTTAACTCACAAAGTCGGCGGCGGTGGGTCTAATTACACATCATTTTGGTTCTTTCTAGCACATGCCTAGGCATAGCATCATATTTCGAAGGCTTACTAAATAGCGCCAGCTGCATGACTCTTCAAATTCACGAAAAAGCAAGACTGTTCATTTCTATTTTTAGCTTGACGATCCCATCATTCCTCCACTGGGAAGACACTTCAATACCAAATATTCTTGCACTTATAGAGATGACAGGAAAGTAGGAAGCTTTCGATTTGCGTGACGACGCAATTTTAGAACGGGTTCCTTCATGCGTGACTGTCCTACTTACTCTGCACAATGTGGATATAACTTAACGTTCTTGCATGCGCAGATAAAATATTAGTGGCATTATTTAGTTCTAGATTCTACCGCGTCGTGCAATCGAAAGCTCTCTACTATCTACTACCTCCACACGTGGGCAGCAGACACAAGCATCTATCCCTCTATGATTCTCTATCAGCCAACAACCCAGCTTCAGTCCGTGTAATTATTAGCCATCTACTACCAGTTCCCCTCAGCTTTGATTACTGACTTCCACAGATGGTGGGTATAGACTATATCACCCCCATAATTGTTGGTGTTCATGGTAAGAAATTTTATGATTACAGCACCTCTAGATGGCCGGAAATGGGCCTCTTAGACTTAAATTTTAATATAATTTTTTGTCTACTCCATTTTTTTTATAATTTTGAAATATTTAGGGGCACGGGCTACCTTCCTCCCTCCTTTGAATCTGCCACTGATCTGGTTAATGAGCTTTTTAATAAGCTTTCATAACACATTTAATTTTATTTTGCTGCACAATGATACCCATCGGCTCTGACTTCTGTGAGAATAATAAAGCAGTGAAAACACACAAAATTATGAATTTGCAGAGATTGGTTAATTTCCGGGAGATTCTTGCTTGCCTCCGGGAGGCTGTCCCAATTTCAGGGAGACTCCTGCGAGTTCTAGGTGACTTGGGACCCCTGATACTAGCTCCTCGTCCATGTGATTATCTGCCAACAACCCAAATACCAGCTCCATCTGTGCGTGAACATCTGCCAACTACTACCTAACTAGTAGCTTCCCTCCACTGTGATTGTCTACTATCAGTTCCTCCTGCGATTATCTGCCAATTTCTCAACTACCAGCTCTTCTCCCTCCGCTATGAGTATGGATACCTACCAACTACCAGATCTCTACAATCTATTATTACAATCTCTTCTCTCTGTGATAATTTGAAAACTACCAAACTAAAAACTCTTCTTCCTCTGTGATAAACTTCCAAAAACCTAACAGCCCCCTCCCACTGTGATAATCTGATAAACATACTGATCACGGGAAGTGAACTGTACTGTACATACCAGTTCCCCATTCCCTTTGGCTACCTTCCAGAAATCAATGCCATAAAATACAACAAGTAAGTGCCTATAGCAACCACTGCCAAGGACAATTCTAATTAGTGAATTAGAAATTGAAACTAATCATAGTATTCAATTAGATATTAGAATCATATGTCTAACCAATGACTTCTCTTTCTATTAAAATGTTTAAATTAGATCAATTGTGTTCAGGCAAGTTGGTTTAATCATTAAAAAGTACAATAGGATAATGATACCCTCTGTTTAGTTAACATGGACCACACGCCATAAGAACCGCAATGTTCAAAAGGTGTAACGAGACTTGTTGAAAGCAAACTGCTCAAGGGATACCTTGATGACTAAAGTCAATTAACTTAGTCATTACTTCAGGAATTTCATCTCAATTTGCAAAGAATAATTGAAAAAGAACTGTTTGTCCTAAAAAACATGGAGCCTCAAGGCTAAATGTAAGACAGGAAATAGAGAGCCTTCAGGGATGAATGGGCTGTATGTTCAGAAATGTTTACCGACAATAAGCCATATTGGTCCAACTTATTAGTGTCATATTTCTTTATTCTTTATTGTTATTTACTATTGCTAAAAATATACAAAACAAACGATTACATAGCTGGAGGGCCCTAACTGAACTATATCACTATGATATAAAGAAAGAGAATCTCACATCCAATAAAAAAAAATTTAAAAAAAAGAATAATAATTAAAAATAAAAAATTTTATAAAATAATAATAATATAATTGTGATAGCGCATTATAAAAATTATACTGTGCAGAAATACATTCTAGTAATACTTAAAATTCAGTCGTTTGTTCGACCATTCATTTCATTCTTTTGTTTGTCCATTCATACAATTATTTTTATGTTTAATTTTTAAATTTTATTCATTCATTCAGTAATTTATTTATTTATTCATTCATTCATATATTTGCTCACTTATTTATTTGTTCATTCATTCAGGTTGTTTGTTCATCCATTTATCCATTCAATTCTTTACCACCATTTAATTTAATAATTATTGTGATTTTAATATTTTTTATCCTGATTTCACCAATAACTCGTTGAATGCTGAGTTAAGATTTTTGTACAACCAACTCATTTTGTTGCCAGAGTAGTAAGTATTTTTTTTCTTTGACTTATTTAGTACTGTTTTACACCAAAAATTGGCTGTCTTAGGTGTTTTTTTTATATGTAAAAATATGAACCATTTCAGGATATTATATTATATACTGTGACTCATATTTAATATTTTGGTATAAGTTCAAAAATATTTAAAAAAAATGCTTAAGTTGTATATTTTATAAAGTTATTACCTTTTGACTGAAAATTATAATACAATTAATGGATGCTAAAATAGTTCATTTTTTATCTCTTTGATTCATTAACCAGAGCAATATATAAAGTGCATCTGCAACTTTACTGCAATATGTGCTAATATAAATGGCACATTAACATTATAACTCATACCTGTAAATTTCTGCCATAAAATTTAATGATTTTCATAGTTAAACATCTGTAAATCATTGAAAGCCTATTTTCTTGATCTGTGACTTATTGAAATTGATAAATTATGTGATGTTCTTTTAAAACAGAAATTCAAAATTTTATTTTGACTTTTCAGAATAGTTGGGTGACAGTAACATTAATTGAATAGATCATTTAAATAAAAATAACAAATCTAATTACATACAAAATATATACTGCGCATACAAATTTGAGCTAAATAAGCCACTGGTAAAACCAACCTTTAAAATATTACTTTGTGACCTGAGATTGGACATTGACGCAGCTCCCTGGCCAATCAGATCATTCACTCCATTGATGGAATTCCTTAAGGAAGTGTGATGCTTTAAATCATGATCAATCATGTCAATAGCAGAACTGTCCTGTGAAAGAAATTAACAAAATATTTATCAATATGATGCTCAATCAAATAAAAGATGTGACTGATAACAAATGGAAGAAATAACAATGGTCCCTCAAGACATGTCTTACAGTCAGGTGGAATAACTTCACAGGGACCACAATAATATAAAGCCATTTCCAGACAGAGGTTCTGGCAACATTGCGGAAATACTACCGGTACACTATCACCAACACCGACATACACCATTTGTACCAACCAAATACTGCGGTAACATTGCCGTAATATAACGCCTTTCTGTATGGATGGACCATGCACGCTGAGAGAGCCATTGGTTAATATATTTACTCAGCACAGACTAAAGATGTGCTTTACTGTTTATTGTTTCTACAAAATTGCTGATAATTATGGAGAAAATATTTGTTTTAGACACACTCTAGAATGCACTGTAAGGCCAAAAAAAAAATGTTTGTGTTGGCCACGTTTTGAGAAAATCCAAAAAAATGGGTAGGTCGGTAGGAAAACTTTTTTTTTTTTACAACCAAATATGTGTTCATGCCTAAAAAGTAGAAAATACACAAATAATATAACAATTTTGGATTCGCATCGCATACCATTCACCAAAATAGGCTAGCCTTGGCCCCCTAACCTGGCCAAGGCTATTCCAGCCATATTTGCTCATTTAAAAAAAATGTTTGTTGTCAAAACAAACAAAAAAAAAAAACGAAATTTGGATCAGTCGGGCGTGGCCAACACAACAGTTTTTTTTTTTTTTGGCCTAACGGGAATATTACTACTACTATTACTAGGTCTGAAATGGAATGTTGATACAGATGTTAGTCATTGATGGTTTTGGTCGCAAGTAAAATTAAAATATATATATATAACCAAAATAATAAATATTTTAAAAAATTGTATTGAAAATAAAGTACTGACATCATTGAGTATTTGTGTACTGTATTAATATTGAGTATTGTGTACTGTATTAATATTGAGATGTCCTCATGTGAAAGAGAGGGCGACATTGCATCAGAGACCACTGACTGCCATAATTTATTCTATTATACATCATCATGTCACATTACTGTACTGTACTTAAGAGGACATTGAGTTGAGTGTTAGAGAGAGGGCAGTATTGCTTTTTGAGATGACATCTTTAAAACTTACATTAGTTGTGTAGCTTCGATTAAGCAGTTCTTCTCTATCTCTAGCTTCTTGTTGATACCTTTGACGACGTTGGTTGAGCAGTTGAAGCGCTGTTTGTAGATGATGCATATCATACTTTAGCTTGTCAACTTGTCTACAAAATAATTATAAAATATTTGAGATTATTTATGACCACTTCAAAGTTTGATGCCAAGACTTGCCTATCTGTTTGTATTGGTACAGCCAAATGCTATCTGATTGGGGAATACAATACAAATGAATTTGATCAAAAAAATAGTTCTACCAAAAGCATGTGTAATAAGACACATGCTGTGCAATTCATCTGAACCACAAGTAGTTCACTTCACTCTGTAGTTGTATACAACATGATTGTGAACAAAATGCAACCCTGATGTTGGAAGGACAACACAAACCTATAACAATAACAATATATCTATGTGGTGTACATAGACATTAATATATAATAACAATATACCAAAAATAATTCTTTTTATTCTGTACTGGTAAAAGAATAATTTTCTCCAACAGTAGGCTTCAACATGCTTAAAATGAATAATAATAAATGTTTCCCCTGTACTGTTAATGTTAAACTAATACATGAAATAGAAAATTCAATATATTGTTTAATGTATATTTATTCTTATATTTTTGTATAAAGTTATTAGATTTCAAAAAATATTGTTGATATGCCTACAAAAATGAAAATGTTCATTTAATCAAAAAAACCTATTAACAAGTGTTTTAATGACTAATTAAATGTAAATAAATGTTGGGTATTTTTCATATTTTACTGGTCATTAAATAGCCGATTAAGTAAATTTTGAAGTAATAATGTATTGTAATTTACATTTTTGCATGTTGTCTCCTTGACGGTGGTTCTTTGTTGACTAGGATATCTAGTCGTTCACAGTTGCTAGTGATTCGCTCCAAGAGACCAAGCACCTCATTCTCTAAAGCTAAAAAAACAATGATGAGAATATAAATAAATAAGGTACTTATAGAAACTAAATTATATTATAAGCAATGATAGATAGATAGAAATCTTTCCTTTTTTCTGGATACTCAATGAATATGGCAGCAGTGTTCTTTCTTTGGAGCCAGAAAAAAAACTTACTTTTAAATTACAAATACAAAACATAATTAAATGAAAATAAGAAATTATATGAAGATTAAGTATAAAGCCCCTATCGCACTGGACTTAATTTGGTCAAATTAACCGTGTCACTGGCTAAATTGACCAAAAAAAATCCAATCCGAACGTCGGTTACAATTCCCTCAGGGTTAAATTAACCAAGCCGAATGGTTAATTTTACCGACCTCAGCCTGCCCAGTAAAACTTACCACGGTTTCGGTTAAACTAACCACGCTGGTCAAGTAGTCCAATCCGAACATGCAACACGGTTAAAACTTTCTGAGTTCATGACCTGCCTGGCTTTTTCTACCTCCCCATAAAGTTATCAAAGTTATAGTTTCCTCGTATGTCCAGTTTCGGTTTTTTTTTTGCTTTTTTGCCTGAAGCCATTTTGTCTCCTTCCATGTTGACATGGCTCGAACAAAACCGGAAGTTGAAGTCACAAACTAGCGCCCTCAATAATATTTTTTATACACAAGGTTAAATCTTGGTAAAACTATGGTAAAACTAACCGCGTGAATAACACAAGTGCGAACAATGGTGAAATGCACCCATGACTTTGGTTAAAGTTACCCTGGTTAAATTTACCATTTTTTAAATCCAGTGCGAACAAGGCTTTAGATGCAAATTTATATCAGATATTTTGAAAGATTACAAAGTAAGTGTATGTATTATTGCTGTGAATATTTGATGGTAGATTATTCCAAAGTTCTTTTGCACTTTTGGCAAGACCAAATTGTTTTTAGATTTGCTTCTTGTATGTATTTACCAAAAAAGGCAATAAGCCTAGCAAAATTAATTATTACGATGCTGTATATTTCACAGATACTGTATATTCATAAACAGGTTTGTTACAGGAGCTATTTAAGAAATACTAAATTTCCGACTATAGTAGTTGTATAAGGATTGTTAACCCTTTGACAAAATTTGAGATAACAAACAAAATATACAAATTAGAAAAACAATGTGAAGATACTTGCCACATTCAGGTATATTTGCATAGACTTAAAAGGCAGCTATAAAGGCAAGGGCCTTGTGACTAAGATAAACAAGTTTGTAAAAATTTATTTAAATTTCATTTACTGTTGACATTGGGAATAGGCCTCTTTTGCATACAATAATCGCACTTTAAGTTTACTGTGTCAAAAACTAATTTCAGTTATATCCGTAGCATCTCATTCATTTACAACAGGGGCGGATCCAGAAAGTTGGGCCGACGAGACAACACCATCCTAGAACACACTCAAAATTGTTGTGTTCTAGACGCCCGAAAATAAAATTTGAGGCGTTCTAGGCTTTCATTTTTTTCTTTTTCTTACCTCCCAAAAAGGGGGGGGGGGCGCCAAAAAGGGGGGGGGGGCAGGCTGGGGACCCCAAATCTTCCCCTGTACTATGACAGTATAAAATGTATTATGTTAAAAAAAAGAAATACTTGACATGTACTTGCAGCTAACTCTGTACTACAAAGATTTTCTTGTGCACTTTCTAAAATGCACAAATTTGACACTGTGTATACTTACTATGGAAATTCTCATCTCTAGTATTCTCTAATCTGCTAAGACCATTCTGAACTTCAATAATTATTCTGTAATAATAAGAGAGATAATGCATAATGTATCATTAAAAATGAAAAAAAGAAAAAGATATCGCAGAAGAATTGTTAATAATAACATGGAAGTACAGTTAACACTTGATGAAAGATTTCAAGACAAGAAGGTCCATCCAAGTCCAAGAAGACAGGACTTTCTTGAATATAAACAAATTCTACTTGAGGAAAACTAAACAGCGCTCCATAGAAATTAATTATGGCGTCCCATACCTCACGTGAGACTCGTCGCAGTCGAAATTGCGAAAGAAACCAGTATCATCCAGGAAGTGTGTTTATCTGATCATCATTCATTAATAATTAATAACTTTTATAATTTGCAATGATGGGCCTGAACAAATTCATAAGTGGAACCGATTTTCCATTTGTGTTTTGACGTGGTAGTCTAAAAAAAGGGGGCCTAAATGTTCATAAAACTACTAGAATATGAGTCGGTCGTCTACACACTAAAAAAGTTGAAAATAGACCCAAGCGTCTACAATAGTTCAAAATGAACCAATCATCCATTATAGGCCCGATCGTCTGTTTCGGTGAAGTAGGCTTAGGCCTAGGCTTCAAGTAATTGGCCTAGGCCTAACCTTAAAGATAAACACTGACTTTATTCGTCTCTACCAACTATTGAAGTATACCTGTTAGTTTGATGATACAAGTTGTCCATGTTTGTTAGCTTTCTTTGCAGGTGGTTCACCTCAAATAAAAACAAGATGCTTCCACATCATCGTTTGACATCGCCACATAATGCACACGAAAATGGCTATTCGCAAGGCTACGTGTAAATTCATGGTTTCGTAACATAATATAAATAATGCACAGTTTTATTTCAATTAGGCTACGGTCGGTGACCCTGCATACAATACCAGGGGACGGATTTATGGGAAAGGGGTCGAGCAGGCCCCTGCCCCTATCAGAAAGTCAAAAAAAGGGGAAAAAAGAAAAAGGAATTATTGATCGCCCAAAACGCCTCATCTCAGATCATGATATTCTGAGGTGTCGGTCTGTAGGTCTATAAGGTATTTGTTGTCTCTCGGCGATCGGTCCCGGGGACAATTTGAAATTAAAACGAACAAACAGTTTTTTATTCCTTTTAATTTCACACATACGGTAAAACTTTAAGATTGTCGAAATTGTAAGATCTGTTTTTGTAGTAAAACGCGTGTTGCAAAGTGATGAAAATTAAATTGAATTAAGGTTTTTCTGTTTTTGTTTTAGGCCTAAAGAAGCAATGTCTATAAATTTATTTAGGTTTTAAATTCAGATTTCACCACCGAGAGAAACACTTTATTGTTATCATCTTCATCCGTTACTCGTTACAGTATACCGATATAACTGTCTCTTATACACATCTAGATGTGTATAAGAGACAGTATCTATGTGGTGTACATAGACATTA